CTACTGTTTGGGTTATTTTAGGAGAAATCAATTTAGCAGTGATCGCCGTGTAGAAGAAACTTGGAATTGATAGTTTATATCAAATATACTTTATTAATAATAAATGTATGTTCATAGTATACAGAAACGCCAAAATAATGGTATTTAACAGAAAACAAAAAAAATAATGCACTTTGGAGAAAAGGGAGAGGGCTTGAAAAAAAATTGTCCCTTCTCCAGGAGTCCCTATGAATTTTGATACCTTTTCTGAAATTATCCAGATTTATAAAAAGAGATGGACCATTTTGTACATATACCAAGGGGAAACTTCGTGCAAAGCATTATTATTTATAGTTTAATTGAATTTAGTAGAAAAAGAAAATTTGGTGAAAATAAAACCAAGATTTTTTTAGAAAATCCACAGATTTTAAGACCGAGATTTTTATACGATTCCAATTTTTTTGGGGGGGGGGGATCGTATAATGGTATGATGTGGTTGTTGTCGTCTACGTCGTCCGAAGACACATTTGTAGTTTCTGGACTATAACTTGTGTGTAAGTGTATGGATCTCTCTGACATTGTACCACAAAGTTCCATATCACAAAAGGAAGGCTGGGATTGAGTTTGGGGGTAATTGCCCCATTCATGAAGGAATTCGGGGCCATAAAAGGGCCATAAAACATTTTTTTAATTATTCTAGTTTTTCAGACAATAACTTGTGTTTAAGTCACTGTATGGATCTTTCTGAAATTGTACTACAAGTTTCCATACTACAAAGGAAAACTGGGATCAAGTGTTGAGGTTATTGCTCCAAAGGGCGGGGGGGGGGGGGTGGTTGTGAGTTCAAAAAGTTTGCAGGTTTCCAAATTTTTAAAAGGGGTTTAATTTTTTTTTCAAAATTTTTCAAATTTTAAAATATTTCAAAAGTTTCAAGAAGAAATCTTTAATTGCACAGTATTGCCCAATAGATTTGAAAGACCTTAAAACATGTTTTGTGTCAGAAACCTATATTATGTCAAAAATTTGATCACAATCAGGGGTTAAAAAATCCACTAGCCCGACGCCCGGGACTAGACTTTTACACTTCGGGCAATTAAAACTTGTAACCGAATATGCCCGACGGACTAGTAACAAACAATTCTTGGCATTTCCAAAATAGTAAGTGGAAAATCCCCTCATCGCTATTCTATCTTAGCCAATCAGATTCAATTACGTACGTCATCCGGGATTCCAAGAATTTGAACCGATTTTGTACATGTTTTAAAAATAGAACAACTAACTCTGGGTGGACCGGTATCATGTATTGATCGCAATTCACGTACTTTCAATATCAATTTCTCAGTACAGGGGGTATTGTACATTGCTTATGCCGAGATTTTCAATTAATGGTACTTGGGTGTATGATGTAATGATCGATATTGACCTGTCTTGTCGGACAGCTGTTAATTTGAGCTTGAAACCATGCACAAATTATTTCTAAACATTTTAGTACGGCCACCACAGGAACTTTGTCAGTTTTAAAACGAAAAACGGTAGATGAAGGGGGTAATGAGGCTGAAAATTTATCCCAAAAAATGCCAAATACGACCAGGAAAAGCGGAAAAAAACATTTATGGTGTCATTGACAGAAAGATTCCCCATGGGCAAGGTCGACTGTTACTGATGATAAACAAGAGATGATGTTTTGTGAATATTGCCGTTATTTTCCCGATCTCGCTGATAAAAAGTCTGCTTTGTATGTGGGAACAACAAATATACGAATTGAACCACTGGTTTAACATGACAATATCAATGAACATGTTTTCTGTGCCCGAAAATATTTAACAACCCATAGTACAAGGGATATCCAAAAAGATGTCTAGAGATCCCTGTTATAATTAATAAAACAAAAATTAATTTGATTTATTTAATCAAATACCGTGTATAATGCCGGATTCAAAACAAGGGACATCCACTCTAAATTTGAAAGGTATACTCGGGCTAGCAGGTCAGTTTTGATGGGCTAGCAGCTCTTTCAACAGGGCTAGTAAAATCCTGCTACCAATAAGTCCTGGGCTAGTGAGCTGTAACACATTTTTTTAACCCCTGACAATCCTAATTCAGACAGTAATAAGCTTGAATATTGTGTCAAAATTTGCCCCAACTGTTCATGGTTCAACTTCTGCGGTCATATCAGGCTGCGCTCAGCGCCGAAGCATTTTATTTTTGTTATAATATTTTAAACATATATAACTCAATTAAAAAAATCATTGCTAGCACTGAATGCAATAATCCTTCATCAATAAAGCATCGAATCGCCAAATATGACAGTACAAGGGAAAAGCTGTGGATTTTCTAAAAAAAAATCCATATGTTTAGCATTTAATCAACACAAGGGTACATAATCCTTAAAAGCCTTTGAGAACGTAACTTTATAGCAAGGAACTATAACGTATGCAGATTTTCTTTGAACACATACGAAGGTCTTGAATATTGGGGGGGGGGAGGTCTTTCAATCCTAATTGTCTTTTAATTTGTTAGTCATCTGTTTTTCTCTATTCTTCATATTTTTTTCTCATTATTCTATATTCTTTATTTTCTTGGCAGCTATTTTTTTTTACTTTTCTGGTCCTATGTTGTGCACTTTTTGTCCATTTGTGTTCTCTATTCTTCTATAAATCCTATCCAGACCCTCACAAACATAAATAATCAATAAGTTCCGCTCCTATTACCTAACCCCACTTGACATGGATATAGATAATTGTCATCCATGGGGTTTTCTCATCCGTTTTGAATATAACATTGCTATTAAAACGGGTACGTTATAAAAAAAGAAGACGTGGTATGATTGCCAATAAGACAACTCTCCACAAGAGAAATGACACAGAAATTAACAACTATAGGTCACTGTACAGCCTTCAACAATGAGCACAGCCAATATTGTATAGCCAACTTTAAAAGGACAACATGCTAGGAGTCCATTACATCAGATATAACATATAGAGATGTATAAATACGCAGTCACGTATACGTCCGATGCTAAATTGTTGACTTTGTTGGAAGGCAAAATGATTAGCTCTATACTGACTGGAACTAGTATATATATAACTGAAACTAGATGAAAATCAAGGAATCTACACATGCTGTAATAGCAAATCTGAACGGAACCAAAACGCATGTTTGTAAAAAAATAAATAATATACAACTTACATTTCAGCAACTGTTATATTAGTAATTATTTATGATGTAGTTCGTGAATAAATTGTCCTACACAGTGGAACAAATGGACAGTCTAAGTACGTTAATGTCTGGATTAATATTTCTGCAAAGACGTTGTCATTTTATTGTTTCCATTAACCGACTTAAATAAAAATCAAATTATAACTTTGTAATTATTATAAATGTTTACCTTTTGAAATAAATTTTGGTTTATTGAATATATTTACGGGAAAAACGAACTCACAAATGTTTTATTTCCATGTATTTTATGACATATTAAAAAACATCTTTGTGTAAAAGAAAAATCCAATCACATCAAATTTTGATCGGCCGTAAAATAAACTTCACATCACTTTATTTATATCACAAATCAATTTACAAAAACTTCTCAACCATGTCATAATAGAAAGCACGAGTGATCTATCTGGCGGACCAACTTGTGGCTAATGATTGACAGGTATGATTAGATCTTGAGGCTCCTATGGGGAACGTGGTGTCGAAAGGAAAATAGAAGATTATTCAATTATAATTTTTAGGACTCGTACGAAATGTGATCTGATATGGAAAATTTTGAGTTCTTTTAATAGCACAAAGAAATAAGACGTTAGAAGGGTTACAAATGTGTAACTATAAACCAATGACTCGTATGTAATTTACGGGAAAGATTTTATCAAAAGTTTGTTGAAAACTTTCAATTTCAAACCTTCTTGGTTGGAATGAATATGTTCGATTTATATGCAAATAGGTCTTTATTATATAATATATTTAAATTATCTTCATTAATTACAATACAATATATAACATGTATCTATGATATCCTCCGTAACGACTAAATATATGTACAGGTAAAATTAAATTCTGATCAATCGGGTACAGATTGATTTACGACCTTCCACTGGTATTGCACAAGCAATATCACAGCAGGTGTTAAATACACTAGGACAAGTGTCAGATCAGTTTGACATCCTGCCCGATTACGGTATCTTCCGGAGACTATAAGTACAAGGACTGATTTTTTTCTAAACATGACAATTGTGAAGAATTTTTTAAAGTGAGAACAAAGTTTCTGACCCAAACTATCGATTCACATTATGAATCTATCATGAATAGTAGATTAGTTTACGTTTTTTAACGTAAATACGATTTCCATTCATATATTAAAAAAATTGTAGTTGTCTTTTGCAAAGATAACACATGTATTCATCTTGTTCATTGGTCACATTAAAATAGATTTTTCTTTAATGAACAATGACAACATTTGATATTTATATCTTAAGTAACTTTATTATCAAAAACACCGTTTTATCTCGACCGAAAAGGGAAATAAGATAGTTTTTTTAATCTGACTGTAAACATTGTATATATCACAACGATCTATTAATAACCGTCGCTCACGCATAACGGATTCTATAATCATCTATGTACAACGATCTATTAATAACCGTCGCTCACGCATCACTGGTTCTATCACTGACTCAATACACACCCGTTTTATCGGACAAACGGCTAATTCCCGCCGACACGGAAAATCTCCGGATAACATGCATAATATTCTGTAATACAGCAAATTTACGATGAACCTCTAATTATTATCCGTTTCGCGGAGATTAGCCAAAAATCGCGGGCATTTTCCAAATAGGTCTACCAGTGATTCTTTTAAAATTTTAAAATGTCACAACCAATATAGTCCGCTCTCTTTTAGGTTTCATGATTTTCAGATTTACCATACTAATGTTTTAATTGAAAAAAATTATCTAATTATATTAATATTCAATTGGTTTAGGAAAGACAATATAACGGAACAATGAATTTTGTTTTTGCAGGAAAGAAAGCTCAGTCAAAGGCTCCTAAAATTCAGAGACTGGTAACTCCAATTGTACTACAACGTAAAAGACACAGATTTGCCCTCAAAAAGAGGCGTCATGCTAAGAGACGTGATGATGCTGCAGAGTATGCTAAGCTTTTGGCCCTCAGACTGAAGGAGAAGAAAGAAAGAAAAAGGAGTCGATCAGGCAGTAGAACATCTCTGTCACAGTCTCAATCTAAAGCATAGACTATGGGCATGGCTGATCCAAATTAAAAAAAAATTTAAAAGATCTGGTTTTCATTTTATATTGGTCTAAAGATATAAAAAAAAAAGATGTGGACTATATCAATGTCGTATTCCTGACAGTATAATCAAAGTCAACCATTTACAAAGTTTATTTCGATTAGTAGTATGGAGTAAAAGTTGCCATAATATTCAGTTCAGAGATTGTTGACTGCTTGTTTTGTGCAAAAATCATCTCCTTTAAAACTACAGTCAATCAGAACAAAACTTAGTCACAATCATCCTCAGAGTATCTAGCAAAAAAAATGTGTCTGGTGCAAAATCTACATGAACGTCATTGTTAAAAATAAGGGCAAAATGCAAGTATTGGTTTTGTCTAAAATCCTGAAAACCAATATAGATAAATAAAATCTTGACACAGCAAAATGTATATCATGTTATGTACTATTGCTATTTATCTTGATGAGTGTACTGTATAAAAGAAAAACATAAAACGTTGACAGTCGAAATGATGAGCAATAGAAGATCTTCATAGCTGTAATTGTCAATCGACTCTTCAGAAGAGTTATTGCTCTTCAATCACAATATTTGGCTGTGATCTTGATAACTTTAAAAGATAGCCAGAAGTTTAAACAGATCAGCTAGACAAGATCTGTGAATATGCACCATGACCAAAATCATCAGTAGACTCATTAAGAGTTTGCCCTTCAACAACAATTTTTCCTTTTCAGCTTTAATACCTGGCCCAAAGGACCAGAGATTGCCATCTGTTTACTGTTACAAATAAGTCAATATAGCAGAAATCATCAATTGACTCCTTATATGAGTTATTGCCCTTTAATGACAATTTTTTGCGATTTTTGCCTTCATTCTTGAAAACTATATAAGTTAGATAGAAACTTTAAATAACAAAAATGATCAGCAAGACGAGATTTACATCAGGTCAAATTCTGTCAAAAAAGTTAGTAGATTGGAGTGATTGCCCTTAAATGACGATTTTTTTTTGTAACCCTGTTTTGTTTTTCTCAAAAAATTGTCAGCAGGACAAGGTCTATCGGCCATGAAATTTTCAGAAAAATTGATCTACCCATATTTGAGTTATTGCCCTTCAAATGTAAATTTTTTGTTAAAAGAATCTCTGAAACTAATGGGCCAAATGTAAACAAACTTTCTCTGAATGTTCCTAGGGATACTAGCTTAAGATTAAACCGGGGGAGGGGATTTGATCCATCAACAAACATGGTGCTTAAAATAGGACCAGTAAAATGCAGTTTTGACATTCATCTCAAAAAATTGTCTGCAGAACAAGGTCTGCCATGAAATTTTCAGAAAAATTGGACTTCCCATTTTTGTCTCGCCTGCGAAGAAAGTCACAGTATGCGAGACATAGGTATTACTATGCAGCGGGGGGCGGCGGCGTAAACTTTTTGTATAAAGCTTTTATATTTCAGAGGGTAGAGGACCTGGATGCTTCATATCTTGTATGCAGATACCTTATGTTAAGAAATTTCCGTCTGTCATACGGAATGTCCAATGTCCTTGACCTCATTTTCATGGTTCAGCGACTGCATGAGTTTTTTTTGTCATGTGAATTTCTCACTTATAATGAGTAGTAGGATAACCATATCTGGTATATGGGTTCCTTGCAATGTCTACATGTCCGTCAGACATGGTTCACCCTACCTCAACCTTATTTCATGGATCAGCGATCAAGGTTAAAGTTACATGATTAGGTCCGTTTCTCAAATACTATTAGCAGTAGGTAAACTATATGTGGTGTATGGAATAACTAATGGGTACATGTCAGTCTGGCAGGTTTCATCTGACATTGACCTCATTTTCATGGTTCATTGGTCAATGTTAAGTTTTTGTGTTTTGGTCTATATTTCAAGTACTTTAGCCAACATGTCAACTATATATGGTGTATGGAATGATTGTGAGATGTAAATGTCTGTCTGGCAGGTATCATCTGACCTTGACCTTATTTTCATTGTTCATTGGTCAATGTTAAGTTTTTGTGTTTTGGTCTGTTTTTCAAGTACTATATTAAATTGTTATAATATTCGAATTAGCTCTCGCCGCGATATAGCCTTTCTGTGCTAATGCGGCGTAAAGCAAACAACAATCAATCAATTAAGTACTATAAGCAAAAAGTCAACTTTATTTGGTGTATGGAATGACTAATGGGTACATGTCAGTCTGGCAAGTTTTATCTGACCTTGACCTCATTTTCATGGTTCATTGGTCAATGTTAAGTTTTTTGTGTTTTGGTCTGTTTTTTCGAGTACTATAAGCAATAGGTCATCTATATTTAGTGTATGGAATGATTGTAATGTATATATGTTTGTCTGGCAGGTATCATCTAACCTTGACCTCATTTTCATGTCAATGTTAGGCGGGGGCATTAAGTTTTACCCTTGTCCGTACGTACGTCCCAAAATTGGTTTCCGTTCTCTAACTTTAGTTTGCCTCAACTAAATGTTATGAAACTTATACACAATGCTTATTACCACAAAACACAGATCAAGTTCGAATTTTGGTGGCGTCACTCTTACCGTTCTAGAGTTATGCCCTTTACAAATGGAAAAATTGCTGAATTTTTCGTTTCCGTTCTCTAACTTAAGTTTGTCTCAACTAAATGTTATGAAACGTATACACAATGCTTATTACCACAAAACTCAGATCAAGTACAAATTTGGGTAGCGTCACTTTTACAGTTCCTGAGTTATGTCCCTTTTTATACGACCGCAAACAAATTTTTGTGGTCGTATATTGGTATGACGTTGGCGTCGTCGTCCGGCGTCGTCGTCCGAAGACACATTAGTTTTCGCACTCTAACTTTAGTTTAAGTGAATGGATCTCTATGAAATTTTACCATAAGGTTCAATACCACAAAAGGAAGGTGGGGATTGATTTTGGGGGTTATGGTACCAACAGTTAAGGAATTAGGGGCCAAAAATAAGCATTTTTGTAACTTCCAGACATAACTTGTGTGTAAGTGTATGGATCTCTCTGACATTGTACCACAAGGTTCCATATCACAAAGGGAATGCTGGGGTTGATTTTGGGGGTAATTGCCTCCAAATTTAAGGAATAAGGGGCCAAAAAGGGGCAAAAAAACAAGCATTTTTCTAGTTTCATGACAATAACTTGTGTGTAAGTCTATGGATCTCTCTGAAATTGTATCACAAGGTTCCATATCACAAAGGGAATGCTGGGATTGATTTTGGGGGTATTTGCCTCCAAATTTTAGGAATAAGGGGCCAAAAAGGGGCAAAAAACAAGCATTTTTCTAGTTTCATGACAATAACTTGTGTGTAAGTGTATGGATCTTTATGAAATTGTACTACAAGGTTTCATATCACAAAGAGAAAGCTGGAATTGAGTTTGGGGGTAATTGCCAAAATGTTTGGGAAAAAGGGGCCAAAAATAAGCATTTTTCTAGTTTCCAGACAATAACTTGTGTTCAAGTGTATGGATCTCTGAAATTGTACTGCAAGGTACCATACCACAAAGGGGAGGCTGTGATTGATTTTGGGGGTAATTCCCTCCAAATTTTAGTAATTAGGGGCCATAAAAGGGCAAAAAAACCAGCATTTTTCTAGATTCAGGACAATAACTTGTGTGTATGTGTATGGATCTTTATGAATTTGTACTGCCAGGTTCCATATCACAAAGGGAAAGCTGGGTTTGAGTTTGGGGGTAATTGCCCTAAACGTTTAGGGATTTGGGGCCAAAAAGGGGCAAAAACACAAACATTTTTCTAGTTTCCAGACAATAACTTGTGTTCAAGTGTATGGATCTCTCTGAAATTGTACTGCAAGGTACCATACCACAAAGGGAAGGCTGGGATTGAGTTTGGGGGTGATGAATCATAAGGGGGTTCAAAAAATTTGGGGGGGGGGATTTTTTTTTCCTTTTTTTTCTTTAAAATTTTCCATTTTAAATTGGTTATTTCTGATTTATATATAAAAGCAAATAATAATGATATGGTTTGAATAGGTAAATTAAAAAAATTTTAAGTTCTTAGACCACTTTCATTCTGTGTCAGAAACCTATGCTGGTCAAATATTTAATTACAAACCAAATTCAGTGCTGTACCAAGCTTGAATGTTATGTCCATACTTGCCCCAACTGTTCAGGGTTCGACCTCTGCGGTCGTATCAAGCTGCGCCCCAGCGGAGCATTTTATTAACGTTATATTCAAGCAGGGGCATCATCTGTGTCCCATGGACAAATTCCCCATTTATTTTGTTTTATGTCGGTTTTTCAATTATCATAAGCAATAGGTCAAATATATTTTGTGTATAGAAAAATTGTAAGGTGTATATACCTGTCTGACAGCATTTATCTGACCTGAGTTTCTGTGATGCTTTTAGTAAAACCTTTATCCTTTAGACTTTTAACATAAAATCAATGGTCAGTAAAGCAGGAGAGACATTTCAGCGTGTGCACTCTTGTTGAGTTGGGGAGCTACCATTTGATTTTTAGGGGGGGGCTAGGATGAAATTTGAAAAAAAGGCAGGACAGGAGTTTTGAGTAAATAAAAAGGCAGGATGAGCAACTTGGCAAAAAAAAAAAGGCAGGATGAGCAACTTGGCAAAAAAAAAAAAGGCAGGATGACAATTTAGGTAAAAAAAGTCAGGATAAACTAATAAAAAAAAAAACGCAGGACCGAATAGAATGAAAAATAAAAAGGCAGGACTGAATGGAAAGAAAAATAAAAAGGCAGGACAGCGATTACAACTAAAAAAAATGCAGGACAAAATTTTTCATCCTAGCCCCCATAAAAATCAAATGGAAGCTTCCTTATTGCCATTCAAATGTAAAATTTTTAAAGATTTAACAGCTTTTAGCTTATATCTCTAAGAACTAAAACAATATGAGCAAATCTGTCAGAGGGTGAAAATTACCAACAGGTAAAGGCTTATCTCCCTTGAAATTTTCAGAAAAAATCAAGACCATCATTTTTGGAGTTTTTGTTTCTTAAATGTTTTGGGGCAAATTTCAAGGCTTTTGCTTATTTTTTTGAAAACCATAAATGGT